TTTTAATGACTTACTTGGGGCTGGGGAGATGGCTCAGTGGAACAAGTGCTTCCCTGGCAAGCACAAGGGTTTGAGTTCAATCCCCGGTCCCACCAAAAAATAAAAATAAAAATAAAATAAAAAAATGACTTACTTGTTTAACAACTGTTGAGACTTAGGACTGAATGACATTGTTTGGACTTGTGGCCCTCATTCAGACTTACAATGTAGCAACATGTATGGTAAAACAGCCTTATGGCGGCGTCTTCTACAGTACAGCATTGTACTATTTGCTGAATTTACTGTATAGCACTGTATATAGTTTTATGTTCTGTTATAGATCATAGTACTGCATGTAAGAGTTATGCAAGTGAAAGCAAAGCCATCAAGTTGGAGTTTTCTTTGTCCATCCCTCTGTTCTGAATATTGTAATGTACATACTATGTGCAATTCCTCACTTCGTGACCAATTCATTTCATGACCAAGTGGCAGGACCAGAACTTGGGTGTTAAACAAGGAGGATTGTCCATAAAGAAATTAGATTTGGAGACCAATGTGGGGATGTCATGTAATCATACTTCTAATTCCTAGAGCATCTGTTTACAGTAGAGACTGTGGCAATGAGGGAGGAAGGCCCTACCATCACTTCAGACTGTCCCCGTGGATGTAGTAAGCCAATGTCACAGCACGAAAATTGTGGCATAGATGAGGACATGATTTATGGAATGAAGTCTGTTGTATTTGGAGGATGGGCTGCAGAGCACCATCCTATCTATTTATAAGATCTTTAAAATGAAGTTGGGGCAAGATGTGTTCATTTCTCAAGTCAAACAATAGGACTGGTGAGCTCTTAGGGCTCCTTACTTCAGAATGCTCCTCCGTTCTGCTTCTCTTTGTCATCTCACTTTCTATTTTCTGTTTTTGCATGTGTGTGCCTGTGGCCTGCTTGGTCCAGTGGGAAGAAGTCAGTGGCTATGATGAAAACCTGAATACCATCCGCACCTACCAGGTGTGCAATGTCTTCGAACCCAACCAGAACAACTGGCTGCTCACCACCTTCATCAACCGGCGGGGGGCCCATCGCATCTACACTGAGATGCGCTTCACTGTGAGAGACTGCAGCAGCCTCCCCAATGTCCCAGGCTCATGCAAGGAGACCTTCAACTTGTACTACTATGAGACTGACTCTGTCATTGCCACCAAGAAGTCAGCTTTCTGGTCTGAAGCCCCCTACCTCAAAGTAGACACCATTGCTGCAGATGAGAGCTTCTCCCAGGTGGATTTTGGGGGAAGGTTGATGAAGGTGAACACAGAAGTCAGGAGCTTTGGGCCTCTTACTCGAAATGGGTTTTACCTCGCCTTCCAGGATTATGGAGCCTGTATGTCTCTCCTTTCCGTCCGTGTCTTCTTCAAAAAGTGTCCCAGCATTGTGCAAAATTTTGCAGTGTTCCCAGAAACCATGACAGGAGCAGAAAGCACTTCTCTGGTGATTGCTCGGGGTATATGCATCCCCAATGCAGAGGAAGTCGATGTGCCCATCAAACTGTACTGCAACGGGGATGGGGAGTGGATGGTGCCCATTGGGCGCTGCACCTGCAAGCCTGGCTATGAGCCCGAGAACAGCGTGGTCTGCAAGGGTAAGCTGGGCCCACAGAGGCCTCTGTCTGCTGCCCACCTGGGGAGCACCATATTTGTGAGATTGCCCTATGTCTACTCTGGGTTACCCAGGTGTAGAATGAGCCTATTGGTTTATTGTAAATTGTCTGTATTCATGCTGATTAGGAGGAGATAGGGAAATTCTAAACAATGAAAAACAGTTTGCTAATCACTTATGTTTAATTTAGGAACACACACATATTCTCTGTCTTTGTCACATACAAATACATGCTCACACATGTCTGCACCCTGCATCTGACTACAAGCTCTGGGGCAAAGAGTATTTGGGTTGTCATGGACAATTCACTCAAGGGTAATTGAGAAGTGACTGAATTTGGAAAATATTTTAGTTCATTTCGGTCCAGCTCCCACAGCATTTATCTTGGTACTGAACCCATGTAGCTCATTAACTCACAGGCCTCTGCCTTGGCTGTCTTTCTCCAGGGCTCAGTGCCAGGCCCTGGAAGGAGATGAAGCTACTGGAATGGGAAGGGGAGCGTATCATGTGCTGTCATACCTTTTGCTTCTGAACGATGGAGTGAATACAGACTTTGCAGTTTGGGGGTGTCAGAATATCAGGAATCACTTTGGTGCTCCTCTGCCCAAGACTGCCCACGTTCAACATGTAGCAATGAATATACTGAACTAGCTCTGGATTTAGTTTGCTCTGGGAAAAAATGGAAGAGTCTTGCCTACAATATAGAAGGTGAGCATAGGGGAAGAGAAAACTGTTTTCCATTATTAAATTTTGCTTGTCATAGTCAGAGGTTCTGATTCTTCTCAAAAGAAGCACCCTGGCCCTGACACATCATTAAGTTTGCCTCCAATCCTTTGGAGATCAGAGGCTGTATTAATCTCTTCTCTACCCTAAATCTGCTATCAGCTGTCTTACTTGGTATCATCGCCTACCCTGCCTAGGAGCCTGATCTGGCTGTACCTATTTCCATCCCCTCTTACTTTATTCCTTAAACACCTGCCAATGAAGTGGTCACCCCAGGACTACTAATGCCTATCTCTTGTGATCTTATGGGCTCAGCTAATTGCCTGGGCGGGGGCCCTTGCCCAGCCTTTCGGAGGCCTGCTGAGGCACAGAGTCTTGTCTTTGTGTCTTTATTGGATTCCTTGGTTCTGGTACCCATGATGGATGTCCTGGAAACAGAGGGGAGACAGTGCCAGATTCAGTGATGAATTGCCATAGACAGTTTTACATCCAGCCTAGCCTGGTCCCACAGTGGCTCCTCTTTGTCCCTTGGCTGGGGGTGGAGCAAGGCCCCCTCTTTGGCATTCTTCAGGGCCTGACTGGGGACCCAGGCACCAGGCAGAGTTCTTAAAGGCACAGGTGCAGCAGCTGCCAGGCATGCTCACAACCAGGCATGGGTAATTTCTCTGAGCTTCAAAGGACTGCTACACCACACTTGCTGGCTGGGGCCCTTGCATTTTTCTCATTATTTCCTGAGCAGAATGGCAGGAACTGGAGCAGGCATTGATTGGTTCTGATTTAATTGGGACTCTGGGAATAAGCTTTCATTTTTTGGGCTAATTGGAACTTTTCTCTTTTGGGGGGTTCTGCTGTCCATGCTATTTGTCAGTGACCTCCTGTGGTTGTCCTGGGAGGGCCTGTGGGGACAAATATGTAAATCCAAGTTGTTTCTTTCCATTCTTCCTACCCAGCCCCAACTGCCTCCTGGGTTTTGGTGGACATTTCTGCTCAGCTGCTATAGTGAACCATCTTGACTTTATAAGCTATTTGTTGTGAACTCATTGCAGAGAACAGAGAGCCCAGAACACTGTCACTGTGGTATTTCAGAGGTACAGACAGTCATGTTGTGGTGATGTTTTTCAGAGCAGAGAGTAGAACATCAGGTAACATCATGGAGCCTTTTACTCTGTAGTCTGGCTGGGCTCATTGCCCTGGGAAGTCATTTTAAGTTGCATCTCCCAAATTCTATTTCCCTGACCTTACTGATGTCCGGACTCTGAAAGTTGAACCAGGACTCAGAGGGCTTCTTCAGGGAGAAGGACCCTCGCATGTAGGCAGAGATCTTCAGAGAGTCCTCAGCACACTTTGGTGGGGGGTAGACAGTGCATAGGGTGGGATCTGTGGTGGGTCCCCATGCTGTGCCTTGGAGGGGGGCTTCCTGCCCATCTTGTGTGCTCATGTTGTGTTTCCTTGTGGGCACTGAGTCTTCTTTCATAGGAGTCTGGGTTGGCCACTAAGTACATCTTATCCTCAGGAGGCAGAAGCAAGGAGAAAGGCAGATGCCAGAGACTTGCAGTTGAAACCAGTAGCTACCGTCTTTCAGTGGAGCCTGAGAATTGATGTTCTCCATACCTCGGTCAACTTCCTCCAGTTGGTTCTGTTTAGTTACATCATCACTCTGGTACATTGGTATTTGCACCTAGGACTTTACATGTATTGAACAGAAAGGGTGGCAGGAACAATATCCTTTCTGTTTCTCCTTACATGTTATTTTTCTGGAAATTCAGACTAACACAACGGACAAGGAACCATATTCTTTTGCTTTTGCTTTCTGTTTGCAGAACCCATGAATCTGTCAAACTCATGGTGACCATTGCTGGCTGTGCAATTGTTGGAGACCAGTTAGGCAGCCCAGCCAGCAAAGAGTGATACTGGGTCTGTCCCTGTAGTGGACAGGAGGCTGTGAGAAGAGGGCTGGGAAGGGACAACAGAGAGGTCATGGGCTGCATGCTAACATGCTGCTCACACTTTCCAGTGGGCTCTGTGGCCTGTGGCCCATTCCTGACTCATTTTTTGTGCACACACAGCCTCGACTCATCAGGCAGGGTTGCAAGGACCTAGAGGCCACATCAGTGATCTTAACTTCATCGTGTTTGTCTCAATGAAATTATTAATTATGAGGAAAATAGCTCATCTCCCTCACTATCAAGTTGATGGTAGGGTGGATTGCTGAGAGTACATAACTTCTGTTGCCTTAACCCCTGTCTGCCCTCCCTGCTGAGGTTGGAGGCAAAGTCATTTCTCTGTGTGGACCCCACGCAGCCTGCTTCTCTCTTTCTGGGCTGGCCAGGAGTTGGTGCTCAGCTAGCCTTCTCTGTGCTGTACAGCTTGAGCTGTTCACCGGTTGGGGCTGCACTGCAAGGAGGATGGTGGGGCTAGGACTCTCGGTCCTCATGGGAAACTTTGAGGGCAGCCTCCTTCTCTGCCTGCCGGAAGCTCAGGACCACATCTGCTGCAGGTGTCCATAGCTGCTCTAGGGAGCAGATCCCAGCTGCAGGAATGTGTCCATAGTCTTCGAGATGCCCCACCACAAATGCTTCTAGAGGGTCTAGATATGGCTTTCTCAGGGGCTCTCAGATCAACTATATCCATCCCCACCTGGGATGCTGGCAGGGCCTTCACACCTCTGCCGAGGAAGAGAGCAGATCCTGATGCTCCTTTCTCCCTGTTCAGCTCTCCTACCTGTCTGCTGAAGCTGTGACTTTAGGCTAGCAACCTCTGACATGGACTGAAGAAGTATCTGTCCCCAGGCCAGACATTTCCCTGCTGTCTTCCCAGAGGCCTCCTTTTCATCTATGGCTGTGTCTTCACTCCTTCCCCTCCACAAGAAGAAATGTTTTTCCTTGGTAATTTTCTACCTGCATGTAAATTCCTTCATGCCTGGAAACCCAAGGGACGTTTTGAACCTTTCAACAGTTTCAGTGCCTTTGTCAACTCGAGCAGCTGAGATGAGCCACTTTATAAGCCTGGGGGGAGTTGAGATGAAAAATCTGCAGGATTCCAAGGTGGAGAAAAATGTGTCCAATTTCAGTCCTCTTGGAAAGAGGTTTCCAAGGCTTATTTCCATCTTTCTCAGGGTATCTGGTCCCAACGCTGAGGATTTGTGTCTCTCTATATCTCGAGGCGCTGAAAGACACAGTGTGAGTGTGTGTGTGTGTGTGTGTGTGTGTGTGTGTGTGTGTGTGTGTGCTTGTGCCTGAGGGAGGCCACACTCAAGGCTGCCAAGAGGCCCTGCTGCTCTCCCTGGCCCATCATAGTTATCCAGTGAGGGAGAGCAAGTCTGTAGCCCAGACAGCCCTTCCGCGTGCCCCAGGGAGACCAGCTCTGCACAGGGCAGAGGAGGCCATGGGCACTGACACCACTGCCCTGTCAGAGGAGCTCCAGGATAGGATTTCCCAGCAGGCTTCTTCATTCAGGAGCATCTGGGGCCTCCTCTGCTCCCGTGATGACTCTGCCCAGTGTCCTTCAGAGCAGAATCAGATATAATTGGTAGATGTAATGGGCTGTGACACTGGCATGAGCCGCAGCAAATGGGGCTGGAAGGATGCCCATGGACTCCAGCATGCAGAGCTCTGGAGGTGGCAGAGGATGGCTGGGCCAGGGGATTTTCTGGGTTCCAAATGCCCACCTGCTCTGGGGTGCTCCTCCTGCCTATGAAAGACCACACTGGTGGTCTTTCTTCAAAACAATTCTGACTTTCCCTAATCAGTGCCAGAGCTGGTGAGAATGGTAGGGCACTCACTGTTCCATGCTGAGCGCTATCCCTGGTGGCGTCTACGCTTGGCTTCAAACTTGGTTGTGCATGATTTACTAAATATGCATTATGATGTGGGTGGTGGAAAGTCACTAGGCTCAGAGTTAGTTCCCAGGGCTGCCACTTATGCTCTGGGCACTTAGCCGTGACACACTGTGGAGTCTGAACCTGCTGAGGGTGGCATGGTAGCAATTCTCTTCTGCCCACTCATTTGTCCTTAGAGGGGCCTGGCCAGGAAGCATTTGTGGGCACCTGTGTGGAGAGCCACAGATAGTTAATGTCAAACTGGGATTAAAACACAAATCCAGAGAGGCTACAGTCTGCCTCTGTTTCTAAGACTGGTTTTTGTTGAAATTAACTGTCTTTAAGACACAACTTGCTATTTCTGAAGTGTCAGGCTCCTGTGGGTGGCCTTCTCACAAATACTCTCCAGTGTTTGTGGTGATCTTTGCTTGTCTCGGGTCCCC